GATTCTCCGGATAGATTATTATCGAAGCACGAGGTCGAGGCGCAATTGCGCTCTCTCTCTCTCTTTCTCTCTCTCTGCAAAAAATTTTTCTCGCGCGTAATCTCATTCCACGATATATTACATGATTCAACCTCGTAACGTTTTCACGACACACGCCGCCTTATTTATTCGTGAGCGAGAACTTCGTTCGGCTGACACGCGTTAATTTTCCAGTGTGCGAAAAGAAATCTCCGAGACGAGGAAATGTACGTTAAAAATCGATCGCGCGGTTTAGCGAACTCGGAGACAGTGCGAGAACTGTTCCACCGCAAATAAGATCGTCTTTTCTCTTCTTCCTCCTTGTCGAAAGGCATTTTGCATGGCGATAGTATATATACGATATAACGATATAAACGATTTATTAACGTATACGCGTAAGGGTAAGTAATAACCTCCTTCGTCATAGCATAGTGCCGGTCTTCGTCGTAATGTCGTAGCATAATGCCGGTCTTTGTTCCTCTGTCTCCGCGACAGAGAAGACCCTATTATCTAGCCATTATAATTTATTTTAATTATTTCGTGTTATATTCTAATTATTTCGTGTACTCGCGCGCGTTGTTTACTGCAACCACAGAGAGCGGTACCGGAGAGCGATGTACATAGCCGACTCTACCACAGGAGTTCGCGAACTTTGACGTTCTTGTCCCGTACTTTTACGGGAACCGTCACGGGAATCGTGCGTTTGCGTCCGCAACCGGCGGTAGCCCAACATATCGCGAAGTGTTACGCACGAGTAAAAAGATTCGCCATTTCTCAAACCAAGGTCTCGTAACAATCCTTGATGTTTAATAAACAGTGCACGAGCGCGATTTACAATGTCGGATTACGTCGACTAGTTAACCCGACGTCGCCCGTGCGTTGGGTATTTACGCGGACGTTCGGCTAGCGAATAGTTATATCACGCTACCGCGCTAGTGCTCGGCAACACGATGATTTGAGGGAAAAGTTTCGATGCTCTTCCGGTTATCATTCCCGTATAGATAAATAGATAACGATATCCATATTAATATGCTTGTCGTTCAAGTTCTTCGCGCAAAATATGATCATACAGTAAAAATCAAATCGGGTTGAAGCAGTATAGAATAATATACGGCTCGCATGGCATATATATCGATTAAAATACAACTGTTATGAGAAAATAATTGGAATGATTAAAGTAATACTCGCTTCACGAATCTTGTTATGGCGACTTTCTGAATATGTTGGAATTTTTAGTTTCATCATGGTGTAAAGACTGCTTGGAGTTACGTAGCGTGGAAACATATAACTGTTTCTTGCTAAGAAAAGATAACCGCGAAAGTAACCGCACAGACGTTATATATTAAGAGCACCTACCCGGCAAGAACACGGTCATACCGTTAGAGCATAGCTACATTTATCGCGCACTGTGCAATAGCGAGATAATCGCTAAATTCCTGTTCCAGTGGAATATAGAAAGAACAAAATGATTATTCGCACACCTGGATCCTGTTGAAATAAATTTACACTAAAGGGAGAAATAAATCGTGATATCGATTAGGAGCAAACAGTAACGAGTATTTAGTATCAGCATCGTGTTTGCTGTATATTTTTCGTAACCATCATACGTATTTTATGTTAATAGTTTCAAACACATATTTAATACGAAAGAGTTCTTGTAATTGGGTTCTTGTAATTAAGTGAATATTGAACTTTCAAATTATAATTATCACTGACGATATATTATTTTGAATTGTATTTCGCAAAAAATATTGTAACGAATACATTTCTTCATTGCGTTTCGGAATTTACATGAATTGAACATTTCATTCAATTTGCATCGAATACTCGAAATTTGAATGTACTGCATGAGAATCTTTAAAAATATTTCTATCGCGATATTAACGAAACATCGCGACGTTCGCGTTGTGCTGGATGTTCGTATGCTTAAAAATACTTGGCGAGCCATTAGCGGCAGAGACAACGTATTAGCAGTCGTGCTATTAAAATTTATTCCAACATTTGTCAAACTCGTTTTCGGGATGTACGATGACTCCCTGTGTTTCGCTCTAGCAATGTCGCCATCTCTAGCATTGTCATGCCGTTATAAAATCGCCGAGAAACAGGAATATACTGAGATCGACTGGCAACTCATCATTATGTAAGCAGAACTCATTTTATTCACAGTGTTGTTTTTCTTTTTTTCTTTCAAGCACAATAATTCAATGCAAATCCAGGATGCTCAAGTCCATGTGCTCGGAATTTATGTTTAATTATCTTCCGATCGATTTTCACGTAGCGTATCTTTCGACTAAACTATATTCATAAATTAATAATTTCGTCACGTATGCTTATAAAGAATTGAATTTGAAAGACATTTTTTTTTCATCGAATATTTCTGACGTACATTATCCAGAAAATGCAGTAAAATATATCGATTACCAAATTGTTGATTATTTTATTAACAAAAGTAACATTTAATATCAAAGAAATACTTAAGACAATCTTGTGACGATTGTATATTTATCGAAATCAGGTTAGTTAATGTTAAGAAAAAGTATTTATGAACTCTCTTACATAAAGCCATAAAAGAATAGAAACGTTAACGACTCATAAAAGTTTCAAGTACAGATATTCCCAACTATTTAATACGCGATCTTTTTAACATCACGTCGTAAAATATGAACTTTAACGTAACGTTCTGGGTATACAGACACGTATTGATACTTGAATGTCCGTAAATATCTGCGGATCCCGCTGTAATAATAATAATTTTATAGCGATTTGTTGAAACCTCTTTAAATGTGTTAGTCATTTTACGACTTGTTTCGGATTCCTTCGTATATTGATAGGTGTGGTAAATACTCGTTTGCACATAGGGGAGAACGGAGTAATACCAGTGAGTAATGTTGGTCGCTTCTATACTTCTCGACTGTGTTCGATACGAATTGAATTTTGAATTTTGTAAGTTTTGCAGTCTATATTATAGTAAACATCTATAGGTATTCATTGCATTAAGCAGATCCGACCTTTCTTTAACAGTTTTCCGAATTTTATGAGTTTCCGTTTAAATGGCTGCCATTACCCCGTTTTATCCTATATGCGCAGATCATATGCACAAAAGTATGGGATGATGTCTATTTCTAATAATGTAGAAATGATTATATACTACTTATGCAACTGCTCACGCACACATGCGTCCGTAAATATCGGACGAATTTAAAAAGAATATGATAAAAAAACAACAAAGTCGCTGAAAGTGTTGCTCTGGGAGCAAAGGGCTTTGTTTTAGGAAAAAAATTAGCATATGAAAGATCGAAGAGACCGAGGAAGAAAGGGAGGAAAGGGTTAGAACGGAGGAATCATAGTGTGCAACAGGTAGGCAATCTCGGTTTTCGTCGTGTGTGTGTATATATATATATGTATTTATATGTATTCATCAACGAGCAGGTGTGCGGTAGTAAATGGATGATCGGTATGCATATTAAGCAGGCACATTTCCGCGACGTGTGTATATGTGCGCGTGTACATGCAAACGTATATGTATAAACTTAACGAAAGACTACTTTTTACGATCAGGTGGAAGCCTTGGATCTAAGGATACCCGTGCAGAATATAGCGTGCAAAAAAGAAATCAAGAAGTTCAGTCGGAGCCTTCAAAGAAATTAGTGTAACGATCGTGTCGGTCGCTTGTAACAAATTAATCGGCTACAAACAGCTAAGAATCCCCGTGGTATCGTTCATTTCACAAATACAAATGACCATGAGATCGTAAGATTGTAATAAATGAGCGAAAGTAATCGCATATATACCGAAAAAATAATCGCTATGAAGAGCAATTTGAAATGCGCCTCGACGAAGAAAGAAAAATCTCTCAAGCTACAACGGGTGCCTCTCTTAAGCAGGAAATTGGCTCATTAAATCCGATTACCGTTGATCGATTTCCGTTATACCGACAGTTTCGGATCGGGACGGAATATTTACTTTTCACTCATGTAAACGAAAGCGCGATGCAATTGCAGCCAGTGTCTCGACGTCTCTTAAACGTCGTATCGATCTAACAAAATAATGTAGGTACCTCGGCAATGCTCGTTGAGAAACGCGGTGACGTTCCCAATACTCGTAGTTCCCTCTAAATATAAAAAGCGTATGTGATTGTCGTACATGGCCGACGCCACGTAATTACTCATATAGGGGTTTTTTTACGATAGGTTCAGTGCCGATTCAGAATTGAATTACAATTGGACGATAATTCGGGCCTAATAATTGCAAATAATAATGACCCAGCATAAGTCGTATTCTCGAGTACGAGTTTAAATATTTGCGTTAGATTTTATACTTTCAAGTACTTTCGACGACGGGTGCCGCGCGCAATCTTGTTGCAATATCGTACAATTCTGAAACGTTTGATTACAGCTTTCCGTTCGCTCGCGTAATCATACGATAAATGCCACTCGTCAAATCACGACGCAAAGGTTACCGATACTACAGTCGACTAAATAACACGTTACAGATGTTACTATGATCTACATGAGATGTTCAAATGTCAGACAAATGACATCTTGTGCATCAGCATCATGACGTGTGACATTATTCGTAGAAAGCCTGTAAATCCATGATTACGCAATGTGATGCAACGGATTTGATTGCTGCAAAATGTGCAATCGCAAGTAACAGTTGACCATGACTCTACATGAATATTGGATAATCGTGCATTTCGATTTAAGACCGTTAGAAAGTGTCGCGAATACTAAATATTCATATGTTCAAATTCGATATTCTTTGCGGCTGCCTACGGTTTCACTTTTAATCCGTATTGTTTTTTTATAAAATAATTGCAAAGAATAATTGTTAGTTCATTGAAAATTGTAAATATTATAAATCGTTAGCTATAATATTAAAAATAGCTATTTTTTGTATCAACAAAGAGTAAAAGAAACACAAAATCATTTGTATTTCTCACATTCAAGCACCAAATGGAAAAATATATTAATATTACTCACTCTTTCGTTTCTTCTCCACAGGTTCGGGTGTATCCTCTACATCGGAAGGCGATGGATCCACCTGCTAAGAGAAGATCAATTACGATCGTGACATTAAAAAAAGAAAATAAACGTTAAGACTGTAAACTATCGCGACGCGTGTAAAATCTCTCTATAATAAAATTAAATTTCTGTGCATATATAACTGTACAGTTAATTATTCAGTTTCGATACAAAACGAACAAAATGAGAAAAAGATCTAAATCGTCCGAAATTGTTCGAAGTTATGAAACGGCGCGATTCCATGAGAGAAATGTATTCGTACGTATCTCATAAACTAAGTTGGATTCAACAGAAGTTAAGAAATCAACAAATGTTTAGTTTAAGACCTGACTGCGTGATAGTTCACGGCATTTATAGATCCGCCAGCCGATGCTATACTCTCTTGCCTAAGACCGTCTCTAAATATTTGCGCTATCTCAGCATAATGAAATTGTTTGGTAATCAGTTTAATGCTGCAAGCGCAAACATTGATAATGTTCGTAGAGATTACCGACTTGAGACGTGAAGAATATAGATTTGATAATATTAAATTCGCGTGCGATCGTTAAATACTAACATTCAACTGACAGAATTTAAAAGTTTTCTCATGAGATAAAAGACTGAAACATGAGAATTATAAATACACGTTGGTCCGTTGGTCTCGAAAGAGTTGAAATTGTAATAAAGCGTGATAATAAAGCGTGAATGAGTATTTCTGTCTTTACGGTACTTTATACGAGTACCAGGCGATTTTTCACGATCACGACGATCACAAGATCCCCGTGAAGACCGTGTACTTTCGCCTTGAGGAACAAGAAAGGACTAACCTCATCGGGCAATCTTCCTGTGAGCTTCCTATGCTCGTCCTGCTTGCGCGCTCTTTGTTGACGTGTCTTCTTCGCCATCTTTCTCTGTCGAGCCAAGGTTTCCGTACATTTGCGGCACATACAGTACCGATACTTGCAGTACCTCTTGTGGCCTTTGAGACCGATGTTTACATTATGATTGCGACATCGCGCACAACCAGGTGGCGTCCGCGTACCCACCGAAGATGTGTTCGACTCCGCTGGCTCAGATCCGTTCGTATCCTCGTTATCCATGACGTTCATTCGGTCCTTATTGAATCTCTATATCTATCCGAGGGACGAAAAGTGTCGACCTCGTGTCTGCCTCTACACGGCGGAGAGAAATGATAGTAATCGGATCTCTCTCGCCGACGTCAACCGAAACCGAGTCAGACGATGAATAATTAATCTCGCCCGGACGATGTCGCGGTTTATATTGTTATTATATGTACGAAGAGTTGCAATCCATGAGATAATTTCCTTCGTATTGTTATCCAAATGTTCTTATGACTTTGTTTTCTGAAACATACAATAGAAATTTTTTATCATCTAAACGGGAAAGAAAAGATAAAAGAAGGTCGAAATTAAAGAAATATTAAAACTGCATATCACGGCAATATAAAATATTTTAAGAAAACGCAAAGATAGAAAAAGATCTTATTAATTAATAGTATCTTCTAGTTGAAGTATATTTAGACTTGCTATCCTCTCAAATGCTCTACTTCAGTTGGGTAATTTTTTCTAAATTTCCGATACTCATATATACACACATACACAAAAATAGTCTTAAATCAATGATAGATATTTTCATATATAAGCAAGAATAATATAACATTCTTAGGAGATTTTTAATCTTGAATTCAGTGCAAGTAATACTTGCATCAGTACAAATTCAATCAAATCAAGACTAAAAATCTGCTAAGAAGATTACAACATTCTTGTTTATATATAAGAATATTTGTTCTTAATATACGACTAATTTTTTTCTATATATAACATATGAATAAACTCATCCTCTGAAATTTACGTAAGCGAAGTATATTTTTACGATAATATTAACAGTAATCTGATATAACCTTGTATTACCTTACGTAAATTATTCATGATCAAACAATACAAAGTAACTTTTGTAGCCCATCTTGAGCGAAACTTATAATCGATTTGAGAGTCGTGAAATATACCCGCGAGCATTCGATCGAACTGTGTCGTGTAGAAATGCTGTTTAAGCATCAATAAAGAAACAGTCTTATGTACTGTCGGTGCCTCAATAGCGTGGCGAATGTGTTTGTTCTCTCAAAGGTATAACAATTATCAAAGTTTCCCTTGAGAAAAATAATCAACATGGCTATAAAATAAACAATAGTTCGCGTGACAATTTGTATCATTTCTATTGTTGCGGTTAGCATGATGAAAGTAAAATACAAGATCAGCATTGTTTGATAATTTTTAGGATCGAAACAACAATGAATTATATAAACAAAATACTTAAACACATGTAGGGTTTGTAAAATTCCAGATTTTTTTATTTAAGTCCATATTGTGGTAAAAAAACTCTTTTTTCTATTAAAAACAATAAAGTGAATAGGAAACTTCTTTGTCGATATTTTAATTCACAGGCAGCCCGAGACGCTCTATAGTCCTAATTACGATCTTGTATGCAAGTATGCCAGTTTATTTCATTGGATAAAGTCCGATACAATATAAAGAACGGAATTTATCATGGTATTTCCATCTATTGGAATTTTTCGGCCGTCATTAACCGTTTGAGTCCCGGGGGGTATTGAAAAAACACTGTCGAAGAATCCCAAACAGCGCAACTGCGCTTTTACTAAATGAGTACGAAAAGACCCAAGCAGCGCGATAGCGCTTGTTTTATTTTATGTCGAGAAATACCAAGCGGCGCGATAGCGCTTCTTGTATGTGTTAGGTAAGGTGATTCTCGTCTTTTTCTCATCGCTCCGTCACATTTATTGCTGTTTGCAAAGTGATCGGACGTATTCTTCCGTAAGTGTTACTCTCCATTTAAATTGTTTGTTCATAACACAAAAATATTGTTAATTTGTAATTCGTTATTTTATAAAATACATCTGTATTATTACATATGCATACTGTAAATTTATAAATATTTCAAGTTTTGTTCGATAAAAATTATTGAGAAGATAACAATGAACTAAAAATGTTTATTTTGGAATGTATTATTGCATTATTATAGTATTATTCTACATATTGTAAAATATACTATTTACATTAAAAGGAGCTGTGTGATGTACTTGCGTCAGTAAATCTAAGCTTGTGACTTCGACAATCGGTAACGCACCGTCAGTTGTCCACAATGCTCGAAATGTGCTGGATTTTCTCGACATAAAATCTCAACAGCGCGATCGCGCTGCTTGGGACTTAAATATACACAATCGAAGGTTCTATAGAACTTTTATAGAAAGTATTAGTTAGAAGATATAACTCCCCCCAGCACCCGTATATAAGAATAAACTGAATTACGGGTCGAGTCTATTACCTGTCAGATAAATGTATAATATTTACATAAACTTCGCAGATAGCACTGTTACTATCTTATAAGTGGTGAAACTTAACATGTTCACGTTGGCTTGACCCACCGATAAGTCAGTACGGTCAATTACAAAACGATTACAATACTGTTTTTATGACTTTCGCAACGTATCTCATATCTAATAGGAAAATATATCTCCTAAGAATGACTAAAAAACGAATTCTCTTATTGGACGTGGGATGTGTTTCAAAGCTTAAAAGAGAAAAAAGTGTTGCAACCGTTCTGTGACTGGCTGCACTTGTATCAGATAGCGCCACCCGAATTAAAAAACTATTTAAGAGTTCTACAGGGTGTCCTAAAATTCACGCAAAAAATAATTTTGATAGAAAACAGGTTTATTATTACAAATTGTAAATTTTTTATTGATGCATAAAGTGTACAGTACCTGCTGACGTGAACATGTTAAAGGACGAGTAAAATATTGGCGCGAAACTCTATGCCGGGTAAAATGGACAACAAAGTAAAGCGCGGTATTTAAAGATACATTGCCTTTGTGTCAGGAAAATTACACGGATGCAACAACCGAGAATTCCGTGAGATCTATTACCGGTGATGATTCGTGTATACGATAGTTGAGATAAGGGATACCCGAGAGCCTGAAATGGATAATGGATAAACTGCATCTGCAAAAATTATGATAAATTCTGATACGGCTAAAGCCACTGCGAAGGACGCGGGAGTCACGACCTCGCAGAGGCAAGGATACGTTCTTCTCCCTGGCGTCATTGCAGATGGTCATGGCAGGTGAGGTAAAAATATCCTCTATGTGTGCTGCTATATTGAAGAGGTCTTGTGTATGGCGTACAAGAAATACATCGCATCAAAATCTGCCTCATTAAACATTCGTGGCACGCATAAGAACGAAGCACAAATTACACGTAGAACGAATGGGCAGCTAACCCTTTGCAGCGACGTGAAAATCAGATTTTGCGAAATTAACGGATAGATCTGAGGTACGTTTTTTTTTTTAATTTTATCGCTTTCATTAATTATCTTCCTGTGCTTCCACATGACTATCATCTAAGTGCATTAATACATTTGAAATGCGATATTATCAAAAAAAAGGGAGAGGAAATAAATATATCCTTTAGCGCCGATAAAAATACCGCAGCATAATGCTATGGTAACACGCGATTTATGAAGAATGAAACGATAAAAATGAATAGAGATGTAGCCGATTAGAATAGGTGGCTTCTTAGATTGCTTTAATCGACGTTAATTAATATATAATAGCAAAGTAAGGTCAACTACACCGGAAATTGCAAGCCCACGCGTTTCTGCGCGCGAGCACCAGTATACAGATGCTCGTGAAATGCATCTGTTTTAAGTAAAATCGCAACGTGTAACCAATTATTATGGTTTTCCCGTAAGCACGAGATCTGGGAAACATTCATTATACGTAGAGCCGGTAACATACACACTACAATTACTGGAACTAAAGAACAATGTGAGTAGTGAGGTACCACAGTTACCAAGAAAAAATTCCTTGATCAAATTCAAGCGAGCAGAAACAATTACAGGAGTTTACCCCGCAGCACAACGTGCTTGTGCGTGACTGTTTTGTTGTATAAAAATTTTAAATGTCGATGACAAGTTTCCTCGAATGTTATTTCTGGCTGTATGTTGCAAACGATGAAGAAATTTATAAATAAACAATTACTTCGAAACACCTCGAATACAGTGCGAACTTTATAACGATATTCATCGTGTTTTTTCTTTCAGTGATTGAAGAAGAAAGAAAATTTGTGAAATAAAAACTCGGACAATCAATGATTGATTTTGACCAACGTTTTACTTAGATTATTTCGTGAGAACAAACCGCTGCCGTGTATGATTCGGTTATTTTTACGCAAATAAATAATAATAATTTTACGATCGTGTTTAGGCGTAGGAACATTCGACACAGATCAATCGCGAATTTCAACACTGCGAATATTGTAGGAAATCATCAGCGATGATGTAATCCCTACAGAATAGATCACGTTGGTACTGATCGGAGCTTTCCTTTGCGGTAATAATGGCCGCCGAGGTTGAAATCCGCATGCGATAGCCAGCATCGCCTGCTGCAGAGTCATGTAATTCGCAATGTCTCTCGCTCGATGACTTGGCGGACCGATTATTCATAAGTTCATTTCGAATCATCGTGCAAAGAAACCCGGAGAATCGCAATAAGCTAATCGCAAATGGTATCTTATTACCAAGAGAGATTGCCATAAAAATTATAATTATATAATTCTAAATTCACCCCATTCGTACAGTTAATTATACAATTATCCAATTCGTAGTTCTAAATAAGAAGCACCGCTGCGAGAATTCCTGTCATTTTGATCTATCTCTATCGATACGTTGCCGCGACTGCTATCGACCGAAGGTTGACGCGACGAATGGAACAAGTCGACGCGATAACGACGACCAATCCGATACTGTATCGCAGAGAACATTTATCAACTGTTTATTTCAAGGAGTGGACAGAGCGAAGGAGCGCGACGGCGTTGCACAAAGTATCCACGAATAATATATACGGACGTCATCGTAACCAAGTGCTCATAAAAATCTCAATGAGCTTACGGCTACCGTCGTGCCGATTATGCGTAGTAAATTTATACCATGCCTGAGAGAGAGAGAGAGGGAGAAAGATACTCGGAATAAATCACAGATACGCCTCGACGCGATCGTCGCGACTCCGCGAATAGATCTCAATAGCGGGGAACATAATCGCGCGAGCACGTTCGCTGTAAGGATCTCTGCCGGTTACATTGTCTCCCGATTCGCGTTAACTTATTTTCAATCTAACGACGACTTCCTGGCATTCCTCATGCGGAAAGGCAGGTACCGTCAGCTTGCGGCGTATCGGGAATCACGCGAACGACCTCGTCTAATTGCGAGCGAAGTGTCGGTACTCGTTGAGGATTATTATAGACTACGTCGTAGCGCGTTCACGCGAGACCTCCCACCGCGGCATTCTTCGTTATTGCATTCCCGCTCTATCTCCGGCGACACACAGCGACTCGCTAATAAATGCCGTCGTGTTTGTATATTCGACGAACTGACAGTCTCTGACATTCGTAATCGAGATAACGATAACCGGTACAAAGGATCGTACATTTTCCCCCGTGCGAATCAGAAAATAGGTTGATCGTCAATATCGCACGCATTCTACAACTTTTATTTAACGCGATGACAATACCTGATCGTGTGACACTTCACGTGAGAGAAATTGCGAAATGTCGGGGGAAACGAAGATCACGGAGAAAATGGACGCGTTTTATCGTGAAATGTTGCAACGAATACGACGAGTAAAAAACGGAGAAAGATGGCGTCTAAGTTTGTATAACGGTTTTCTCATTACCTGCGATACACGGAGTAACTGCTTTAATGGCGGTTCGTACTCGCGTCGATAAAGAGATCGGTAGGCGGTAGTGAATAAGAGATCACACGAAACAGATCGAAGCGATGCGCATCCATCGGAGACACATCCTCCACCAAGTTTTCGCGGGACAAAGGCGCGGGACAATGAAACGGTATCGCGCACTAAGAACTTGCCTCTAATGCAAATAGCCAACTAAAAGCTCGCAGCGCCACAAAGTCGGTGCAGTACTAACTGCACCGTGAAATTTGCGCGCGAGATCTCTCGAGATCAAAACTAGACTCGAATTAGAACGCGCGTTCTATTTTCGCAGATACTCGTACGTACGTTCATATCCGCCGTCATATATATGCATATAACGTGTTACGTATTTAGGAAGATTGTTGCAAGCGAGAGAGCGATAATAAAATGCACTTTATCCATTTAAACGTTCTATCGTTACGGCAATTTTGTCCGTCATTTTTCGTTCTATTTGAAGCTGAAGACCGTTTAATCAGTCAACCTTGTTGTAGTAACTGTACATTTTAGAAAAGAACGGTGCACACGATATGTATTTACGCGATCCACTTGTATTACTTTTTTCCACATCCACATCCCTAACCTCTAATCTCTGGCCACGCACAAGTAACCTTAAATCAAGGTCGAAACAAGCGTGTTTTTACATATTTATCTATCATTAACCAAAAAGTCTCGCTCAAGTCTCCTTCCTAACGATAAGCGTTATTTCCTCCTTCGATTTGATCGCAAAAAAGAACAACGTACATATCGTGTCGATGTAAAATGTCTAGTAACAAGTGCACATGGAATACTTACCTCTGGTCGCGCGACGCCACCTCCTCCGCCTCTTTTTCTCCTGTTTCTCTCGGCGGCAGTACCTTCCACAATGAACAACGGGGGAGGGGGGAGGGGACAAATTGACGGTGTCGCGCCGAGAGTCCACTGCTGACTCCGTCTCTCGCCACACGCGAGTAACACTGTTGCGACCCGGCGATCACGCGAGATCCGGCGTTTTAGCGCGCTCGATCGAGAAACTTTAGCGCGCTACGTATATATAATACAGTGCGAAATGTTGCGTAGTTTGATCGCTAACCACGCGACCGGCTGAAGCGACGTGACGTTACACGTGCGCGCTCGTCAACGACCTATGACAAAGCGCGAGAATTATTCTAGCACACCGCTTACGTATCTCTCGCATGTCCAGGCGATATACGTACACACACACGCAGCCGATCACACGAACGAGTAAAAGGGGGGGGGGGGGCGGCAAACGCGGCAGGAAGTCTCCACCCCCGGAAATGGACAGTCCTCCCCTCTTTGTCACTTTTCTCGCCCGTTTTCTCGTTTCCCCCTTTTCGTACGTCTCTTTCTGTTCTTATCTCGCCCGATCCGCTTATAGTCTCCGTCGTCCGTCTCTCGATAAATCGTTGCGTGCCTCCTCAATTAGCCACGTTGCGAAACGTCCGCGGCCTTGCAGCGAAATCGTAATCGTCGTCGCAGCGGTTGCTACCGTCGATATACGGTAGAAACAATAGCGCGGACGAACTGACGACGCAAACTACAGGCACCTAAAGTTTGTAACACAACAAAACGCGCGAGCGATAAAGTCGCGCGCACACACTGCACACGCGCACTACGTCCAGTCTCTCTCTCTCTCTCTTTTCTTCACTGTCGGATCACCAGTCCTTCCAACCGTGCGCGAACATGTACAGGCGCGCTTTTCTTTTACCCTTTACCGAGCTGGCTGCAACAACCGAAGAAGATCGCTTCGGTCGCCTGCCACTACCAGATAAGTCCCGCGATACACGTCGGTTCGCGCGAATGAGGTGAGCCCGGACGCGGCGGTTATGAGGCAGATGCAAGAAACAGCGAAGCGAAATGGAAAGACTCCGGGAGCCGCCAGTACGCTCGACGCGCGACTGCATGCAGTCCGTAACTCACTAAGAGTGCTGGTAGCAGCGGCACGTCGCGAAATGCATGTTGGCCGCGGGCAACGCGGCGGAGAGGGAGCAACGTCGAAGCAAAGGGAGGAGATACGGTGGTTACTCCGGGAGTGCGAGGGTCGGGAGGGGCTTCTCGCAGCAGTGTAGTGGTCGGCCGGGTGGAAGTGGCACGCGGCTTTAGACGGAACGTCGAGGTTTTACGATTGAATCCATCCGACGGAGTCGACCGATCGACCGGCGCGTAGATTATACCTGTGCGACATGCAGCGCTGTCAGGAGACTTCGATCGCGATGCGTTTTTATGCGGTAAGTTTTTCCGTAAGGTGCGTTTTTTTTTTTCTCAAACATTGGCATCGACACACACGAATCGACGTAACGCGTCGATCCGTGTTCTGAGTATCGCCGACGATTGACTTTATCGTGTACGCTGAGGTTAGGAAATATAACCGAGCATGTTGTATAGCTGGAAAAAAGATTGCCAACGTTTTTTCTCGCTGAGTTTCATAACGCATCTGTGTCCAGTAGGATAATTGTTTTTTTAGTCATTCTCGGGAGATTTTTTTTCTCTCAGGAAGGGATTTTTCTATTAGGATCATCGAATGCGTTCTAAAATGTACCTAAAGTGTAGATAAAAACGCCGCAAAACTTTCGCTCACTGACTACATGTATGCGCATAAAAAATGAGGTTATGGTAATTACTGTTACGGGACCTAATGCGAAAATAATTCGTTATGATGAAAAATAATATTTATGTGAATATATAGAAAAATACGTACGTATAAGAATATCGAGTATTTCGGGGACGTTCCTAGAGTGTCTTTTAAACATTTATGCTGCATGGGTATGTGTTGAAAATTTGACGAAACGAAGTGAGTCTCGAGAATAGAAGAGATTGTTAGAATCGATAACGTAGTGAATAAGACAGCGCATGAAAGGTAAAAATCACAGCGCGGTTTAAAATTGTCTAATACTCGTAATGTGCAGATTGCAGCAGCGCGGGTAATAATTAGACGCAAGAGCGTAGTATCTCCCGCGCGAACCTGTATAACGAGTATAATACCAAGAAACATCAGTCGCGTGTTAAATATGAGATAGCGACCTTACATAACACGTATTTGCACACGAGAAATATTGACGTGAAATATTCACAATAGCAACGTACGCACGGACTATATCAACATTGACTCGACACGTCGATTTTTAATCGGTATAACGCCGTCACTGGCTCGATATACCTGAGAATTTTTCGAATGTTCGCCGCGACAGAAGGTATCGGGTGTTTTCAAGATGTTGCGTCGATATATCTGACAGCACTGTATTCGCGCCTGCGAATGCAACAACGTCGCCCGTGATTGCCCGACGCGGTGAACCAGCAACGTGCGGTTGGCGTCACGACGTGACTTCGCGGCGATTCCGTGGGTCAGTGCCGGCTTTAGGGATGCGCGCAGACCGTTAGGGCACCGAAAATTACAGGTACGCACATTAACCCGCTTCCGACTAAAGAAGGACAACGCTGTATTCTCGTCGTATCTCTCACGTAATACTACGCTTTGCAATCATCATGATCGCATCTTACCAAATGAAATGCAATTCGTTTTTCGAAGAACCGTCTTATTTCTTGAGAGTAGAAACTTACCGTCCAACTAGGTTGTTTCTGCCGCCGTGAACAATTGTCGGATAACGTCTAAATAGTGTATTACGAGAAAAGGCGATCTCATCGTGTCATTTCAAGTGAATACGTCAATGAAAAGTGGTATTGCGGACGCGCACAACTTGGTCTCCAACTGTAGGAGATTAATTTTTCAGAGAAGTGTCAACCCACGGCTGTACACGACGAAGGATAGATATATTACATATTGAACGTGTGATAATTTATACCGCGGTTCAGTGTCAACATGACTTGCGTCATGACGTTATCGTGACGTTCGCTTATGCATCAATCGCATAATATATCGGTTGGGTAATATTGTATCGTATTATAATCTTTTCCTCTCGTCATTTTTTTTTACCACTCCGCAAAGTGCTGACTTTTATTCTCGTCAGGCTCGTAATAGCGACGGCGCATTCCAGAAATCGTCGTGTAATACACTAAGTACTGCGTATGCGAACAATGCAATTTAAACAACTGAGGACGGGCGTATCGCCGAGATAGGTGGGGAATGAAACTCGAATGAAGAAAATGCATGCGTGTGTGGTGAGCGTCCGCGCGGGAACAACTCCCGGTCGTAAAACGAAGCTAGTCGCGGAAAAGGATTTGATATATGTGTACGAGCTTTTATGTTTAATATCCTTCGTACGACGCGCTCGCGCAAGCGGTATCATATACGCGCTATCCTCTCAATACGATTCCTCTTTCCAAGGTAACCGAAGAGACCGACGACCATAATTGTTGGATAAGAGGTAAAACACGCCGACCTCTCGCGCTTACCCGTACCTTGGATTTACGTGACGTTATTGATTTTCTTAGCAGTTTTATCACGAAGCATGTAGCCGCTCGTTGATTTTATTCGCGTTACGATCAACTCTACTAGGTGCTACTAAACGATTTCGAGGATCGGTTACAGCCACCATCGTAGAAAACTGTCGGATAACGCCGAAACAGTATATCGCAATGCGAAGCACATTTTTAGTAAACTCTTCTCACTCGAGTTAATTCATTTGCATTCTATGATCATGATGATAGGCACTAAAAATCAGTTATTCCTTTATGGCGAAATTTACGCGTATCGAATAACAGACTATTATATTTTATGAGCGTAGTGGCACTCAAAATGGCCGTTTAAAGTTATGGTTGCACGCGATAAAAAATTGGTATTTATCATTTTTTTCTTAAAAATAAACATTAGTCGTGAAATAGAGAATGTTCCAATGCACTGGGAGAAATATGAGAATTTATCCACTCGAGCTCGCTATACATATACTTCTAGATCTTTAATAAACTTTTATCCTTACCAGACTTTATAGACTCCAAATAGGTTCCAAGGTAAGATGGAATTTTTTCATCCATGTTGCCATTCTTGTGACTTCTCTCGTGTTAGAATATACACACAGAGGATAACGCGCTTTCTCCCCCGCTTTCGTTTTTCTCAGTCAATCACTAAATGCTATTATGATAAGTATAAGTTTCTTCGTACCGTTTGTAGTCAGAAGTTGGGGGAAAAGCAAGAAAATCCTCGTGATTATCGGAGGGAGACGGTTTTAGGGGAGGATGTCGCGTTTGGTAGACGCAGAATGAGGAGAGACGGGCTGAGAGAGGGACGATCGTAAAATGTCGACGAAGTGGATTCACGGGCGCGATAGTCAACGTTCGGACAGGATAGATACGTGCACATACGCGATACTACGGTCGGTACTCCACTTGTGGCTGAATTTACTGATTGAACCGCGGCAGCCGTCGTTGCGGTCGAAACGGATTTTACGCGTTCCGGAGATGCCGGCGCAGCACCGGGAGCCTGCGAGCGCACGAGGCGACTGCGCTGAATTGTTTCGGGAAGGATCGTAAATCTCTTCGAGTCGATTCAGGTCGAAACAGGTGAGTCTCAAATCGAGACTCTGATCCTTACCAAGGCTGACGAGCGATAACGAGAAATGGTGCTTTATATTTACCATATACATCTCTTGCACGAATTTACATGATTAGAAATTTACGTGGCAACGGTATCGTTTCAATTGAAATATGTTTTCATGAGGATTGGGAAAATTATACGCAAGAGTATGAAAGGTTTCAATTTATGCGGATACATAAATTGCAGCAACACGGAGCAAACGAAATTAATTATAGAAATCCTTGTCGTTATTGCAAAAATGTTAACTTTCCCTTTCCGTTATGGACAAAAAATATAACGCCGTCACTAATTTGTTATCGAAAAAAATCATAGTAACGGCGTTGCAGATACTGTTTATTTCTCAATCCTGATCTTGATACATAGTCCAATCGAAATAATGATATTGAAATGAAGTCGTTTCTATGGACAAGTCCACTCGTTTATATCGGCATGTACGCGAGAAATAATCCTTCGAGTGTAAAGTTTAAATTATTCGAATCAGGAGCTGCCTGTTTCGCAATGTAACTCAACTGATCCGTGTAAAACTGATTCGTGTACATTTAAATATCGATTAATATTCACCGACGCAGTTTCTCAAACTATTTCATTCCACTTCTACAGTTCACAATTCTCCAATGTCCTTATATTGAACACGAGCTGCATTGACGATTTTCTTATCGATCCACAATATCGAGTCGAATTTTCGCGTGTATTAAGATCGCATATGAAACAACGCAGTACAGTATACTTGTAATCCGGGGAAATTTCATAAAATCTCAATTTTACCACTAGAAACTTGGGGCGCACGACGTCCAACGGCTTTGTCACGAAAGATATGCATTGTAATTTTTAATAACAGGGTACAAGCACGACAGCGCGTTGCGTGACGGGCCAAGTATTAAGTCCGTAATAAGTTAAGTTTCGTACGAAGAAACGAGTAACAAGAGCAAATCGCGATAAAAGATATTGAACCGTACACGCTACTCGAGTGTCAAGTATCAAGGCGGGATTCGCGATACGGCCTGAGGCCCGTTGAAAATGTTCTGCGCTTGTAACGATGGCGCAGCGCATTCCACGCGGTAACAGCGACAGGGCGGGCAGTCAAAAAAGAAGACGCCACATCATGATTGGCCCGAGACCGAATCGCCGCGATAAGGAATCGTGAGTTACGTACCTCGGCGCGGCGTATCGTGAGATGCGCCCGGTCGAATTCAATTTAAAGCACACAGAGATCCGTGACCGAGAGCGGACAACACGGCGGACTCGATCATCCCGATTATCGTCACGGTCGCCGGGGAATTTCACTGCAGCTCACGCGATCCGAAATTGGCGAAAATACCGATAATTGTGTCGATCATGCTCGAAGGTGCGTTTGCGGAGCATGACGTCTCCTTTCGAACAGAGCAGCGCACACGTTCCGGCTAACTTTCGCGTTTTTACATATTCGCGGCGTTCGATCCTCCCGAGAACTTTCTCTCGGTGTCTCGGTTCGTAAAGTAAAGAGCACATCGAGGTTGTCGAAACGATTCCGCGTATATAAATCGAAAGAAACGTTTATCATTTTATTTATATCGCCGACTCACACTACGATTTCTGTAAACATCGCTCGCGCTGCTTAAGTGTAGCAACACACATACAACGTGAGCACGCATTTTGTTACGAACGCGTTATGTGTATAGCGAAAAGATTAAAAGCTCTCTTTGCGTTACGTGAGAAGACACGACGAAAAAAACGACACGATAAACACCGGCTCGTGGAAGAAGAAACGAAAAAGAATCAGTCGCGTTGCACTCGCAGCTACACGATGTAAACAGGATAAGCAAGTAGCCAGAGAAGGGCGAGGCAATGAAACGGCATAAAAGCCGAAGTAAGAGAAAGGTGTGTATGCACCGATTAAACCAGCCCTGTGATCTCTAATGTCAAAAAATCATATTTTTTGGCGATAAATTTGCGCCGAAAAGAATCTGCGCTTAGTTAGTGATAACGTGAATAGTTCCCTTACAGGAATCGCTAATCGATTCACAGATGAAACGAAGAACTCTACAAAAACTTAGGAAATGTTTTGATTAACGTAGTATAAATAGATGTGAGTCACTTAAAAAATAGCGAAGTTGCGTTACTGCCAATTGTTTAAACTGCTGTAACTTGTCAATCGTTCGACTACAACTGAAATCAGAGACCGACAGCTACACAGTGAAAAATTTGTGTTAAATTTCATATATTTCGCGTGTCCCAAACGGTCCATTCAAATTTTTGTCTTAATTTAATACAAGATGAAGATGTTGAAAAGTAACACAAAATATGTCAAAAATTAAAACAAAATATGTTAATCGACATTAAAATATAAAATGTGTTATTTTAATATTTACACATATTGAATATCGACACAACACAAAATGTTGAGGTAATGTAAACGCAAAAATGTTAAATTAACACACGAGTATGTTAAAAATTTACCAGAAAAGTTTTTAAAAGAACTGATTTTAACACAAGTGTAAAATATTTTTTACTACTTAAAATTCTATTCTTAATCGAAGTGTACTAGTAAAATTTTTTATTTCAAAGTTGGGTGCGAACCATTTCTTTAAATCGCTATATTTTTAATAGCTGAAGCTGTGCACAATATTACGCAAACAAAATGCTAGTGTTTCCTTTGTTAAAAGAATAGTTTTTTCAAAAATTGGATGCCATTAAATGATGTTTATCCGATGATATTACAAAAAAAGTACTTTGATGTTACAAATATATATTACGCGGGAAATTCAGAAATTTTGCGGGTATTGTGAAATTATTTCGTAACATGTAGTTATTACGTGGACCACGAAGAAACTGTATTCACATTGAGTAACGAAAACGGAAAACTAAAAGCGATTGCTTACGCCGCACGCAATCTGTAGAAGCCGAAGAAAAAAGTTCGATCATTTTTTACCTTAAATTCTGCACGCGAATAAGAAAGAGGGCGATACCCCTCTCGTGATTGCGCATCGTAGTGCACCTGCACACGGAGTTTTTTGTGAACGGGTCCCGACGGCGACTTCTCAGTTGGCGCTTAATTGTGTGGGATCTCTTTTTGCGTGTGACTAATCGACGGCATCCAGCGAAGAAAGTATTTCGGACGGGAATTACATCGGTTTCGCGAAAAACGATCTTCGACGGAGTTAACACGAAGAACGCACGCACACATTTACGTACAGCTCAGCATATCGTGTCGGGTCTTCGATCGTAATGCAATGACACTCACCTTTTCAGGTAATTTAGCGTGCAGATTTATGGAATTATTAATTTTTAAGAAGCAGTCTAGTTTCAGTTCGAGCTCCTTTCATATTTATTTTCATACTTATCAATAAGTAATAAATCTAAACCTGGAAGTGGAATTGCAATTGATGCAACGTCCTGTGTGAACGATGCTTAATACCACGACATGGTAACCAAAGTTTGCCGCTGGGCGTTAATGGTTTAATTCGCCGCCTTGGGCAATCGACTGTGTTACCTGATCGGACAGAGCACGCCATCGTGAAATTCACGAGAAACGGAGCATATTACGGGCACATGAGACAGTAGAGCGCCGGAAGTATTCCGCGGCTATTACCGTTCTCCAAAGCAGCGAAAGTTAACATTGCGTCCGCAAGCCCCCGTCTTACGTTGGATGACCCCATATATTCCAGCCCTGCAGTTCCTGCCAGTCGACGGCCTTGACCGGACATTATTTGCTTTATGATAGCATTCGAAAGAAAGTAGCCGAGTTTCAACTACTCCGCGCCTGCTGGGTGACCAAAGCTCGGTCAATTCGCGACTCACGACAATCAGTCATCGATCTTGACCTCGACCGCGTTTGTCATTTGAGATAGATAGTGATATGCAATATTATCGCGGCTTGAATGCGAATGGAAACATCTAGCAGTTTGATTTTATGGAATCCGTGGCATTAAAGCGGCTCTTTGAGTGAAATGGATTTTGACTTTGTTTTGTACTTCTTACGGATTCTATAACAAAAAAAAAATATATATATATATATATATATATATATATATATCAATAGAATACGGCACTCCGAAAAGCACAGATAGTTGAGATTTATCAAAATGATTTCCTTTAATTTGTTACATTCGATTTAAACAGCACATATTTCTGACTACATGCGAGTACATTATTTATTTTTCATATAAAAATACATCACGGGATAATAATCACCTGCCTTGAGTTTTTAATCAAGAAATTCGATGACTCTAGATGCACTCGCAACAGATACTTCGGAACAAAAACAGCAAGTTATACGTTGGCTTTCTGGAAGACGTCTCTTACCAACGCATCTATTTGTGTGTGTAAATCCTATTACTTATCTGTTTTCGAGTCACGTAGTAACATTGGCCATTTTCATTCAAGAGTATTGCATTAGCGTTGACATTTCTCGGAAAATTATATAAATAATTGTGATAAGTGCATAGGTACAGAGTGCGGGCCGCGATTATTCCTTCTACTAGTGATTTCCTAAATTGTAGTGCAGCGACTATCTGCCCGTAACGGAATTATTACACGCTCTGCTGCGTTAAGGTAAGTGAATACTATGTGATCACTGCTCACTATGCAAATGCACACTAGCTACCGGCGGTACGACGTCGCAGCGTGACATGTGACCGTAAATCTTGAAGCTATCGTACGAATTAGCATAATAGTACTTTTTATCTAAGAAATGTGCAAATGGAGCGATAAAACATACGTTAGGTTTTTACATTGTATCCCGCTTAAAAATATGTTTCAATCATACCGATCTGACGATACACTTGCACGTATCGATATGGGAGTTGGTTTTGAAACATTGAAGAAAAGTGAGAGCATAGTATAATTTTGAAATATAGTGGTCATATCGACTTCTCAAATAAATTAGCAAACGTATGTCGCGAATTGTACATTAACGTCGGATAACGTGTATATTTAAATAAAATACGCATTATAATACAATACGAAACTGAAGCTGAATTCACTTTGTGAAATAAAACATGCTTATACGCTTAAATATAACAAAATAAAGTAAGATAAGAGGTTGCAGAGAAAAAATAAGAGAAGAAGGGAGGCAAAGAGAAGAAAGGAAGCAAAAAACAGTTCAAATTCTATTCGGCTCTCTTGTATCTCTGTGTTTGCTCACGTTGAAATTGAACATATGCGGTATGTTCATATATAGACTGCGTTCAGGGAATTCGCTATCAGCGTTACTGCATCACTTTATCGCTCATTAGATACAAAACAAGAATAGAATGACGCAATAGTGCCGATAGCACATTCTCTAAATGAAACTTTAGTAAACTAAGCTTATAAAATATACATAAAATAAAATATAAAATATAAATATAAAATAAATTTATCTTTGGAAGCAAATTTAATATGTACGTTTTTAATGTAAATTGAAAACAGCAGTACTCTAGGTTTGCAGCACATATTTCGCCATGTCATTCAAGAAAATACCTAACTTGTGTGGAGATTGTAGGAACCTCCTTCAGTAGCTATTGCTAAGGAAGGCTTCTAATATATCTACAGTGAACTTGCTGAAATCTTCGCCAGGCCAGATGTCGCACGATCTCGCACAGTTTAGAGCTGGTGTAAAAACGTGTTTATATTTTTCAAAGAATCTTTATAATACGGTCCTTCTAACCTTAACCATATTTAAGTCTATGACTGATAATGTGAGTGACAGTATCATAATTGTGCAAGATAAGATATGTACATTTATAAAATTCTGTGTAACATAACCTAAATATTCGATGTATTTTTATCGAAACATATGTTCGATTTTCAGTGTATAAGGCATACGTGAAATTCTTGTCGTTAAAACTTGGAAGTTAATAAATTTTCTTTTTAAATATAAGTATTTCGACCCTTTATGCTTTTGAAGTATTGTCAATTGTCAGTTTAAAAGTGCATAACTTCAGAACATATTAGTACACATGATAGCTTTAGATAAATATATGATTCTGACATTATTACAGTAACTGATAAAATTGGTGAAAATCTTTAGAAGTTTGTAAAAGAAACCGTGTTATTCTGCTACATGACAATATTAAACATGTTGCTCATCGAAAGAAAGGAAGATAATGAATATTAGTTGCAATGTTTTAGTATCAGGCTTATTCCTCAGGGTTAACCACTTCAGATTACATTTGTTCTAGCCAATGCATTATGCTTTGGAAAATACGCACTTATGAACAGTTAACAGTATCAGAACATTTATCGACAATTTTATTGACTAGTTACGAAAGAATCAGTTATCTACCCCAAAAGTAGCATAAAATGATGCGAAGTGATGACAAATTTTCCACCATTTATTTTAGTTAAATATGTATTTATTTATTTGGAAAAATAAGGCTCAATTTGATAAAAGAGATATCTCGGAAAGAATTTGCGTATACCTAATACACAAAATATCGTAAATCATAGTCACTTTTTCATACTTTATTTTTCTTATCTTGTAGATCCAGAATTTAATTACCTATGGATCCTGAAATTCAGAAAAAGATTTCAGAATTTGAATCTTTCGTGAACGACGTGCTGAAGGCTGATCTTGCCCAACTGGCTGAAAAGCTTGATTCCAAAAATTCTGATGTTGCCGAGTTTCTACAATTGAAATCAATAATAACAACATTTCAGAATACGGACATTGAAAAAACTGGCTTCAAAACTCAAGTGGATATTGGAAGTAGTTTCTTCATTCAAGCACAAATTACAGATGCTTCGAAGATCTTTCTGAACGTTGGTTTGGGACATTATGTTGAATTTACTTTGGACGAAGCTCTAGTTGTTATAAATGTACGGATCAAGCTTCTGAAAGGACAAATCGCTAATTTACGCCGAGCAATTGCAAGGACCAATGCTCACATTAAGTTAATCCTTTTATGTATTGGAGATTTAGAAAGGATTAAATAAAAGGTTCAAATACTTTTGTTAAAAAATGAAATTTCATATTTCTTGTAAATAAAATTAATGCATAATTATCATTACATACTTATAGAGAATTTATTTTTATAAATTCTAGAATAAATGTCAATATATATACGAAACAAATATGATTCACAATGTGTTATTTCCAAAAGAATATTTATCTTTCGTCGACGCTGGTGTGCGAAGAAAAGCGCAAACATTCTCGAAATATTCAGCGTGACTTCGATCGACTATATACTCGAAAATGTGTTTCATGATAATTTTATGGTGAAGACGAGGTCACTTGCAAAACAATAAATCGTGAATTAAATGACGTAAGTAAATCTGCTCCAAATAATATCTTATATCTTAAACGAAACATTTCAATCTGTTAACTTCCAAATAGACTCCTTATTTTCTCGGAGCTAATAAATATAATTCCAGAGATTCAGATACGTATCGTTTATTAACGATTCTATCTATTTTGCGTAATGTGCTAATGTAAAAGACACATAATATGCGCTTTATGAAAGTACATTTAATGAATCTTGTCTGGAGCAGTATCCTTAGCCGAGACAAGATGGCATGTCTGCTTCGTCCATTCTACTTATTAATTTTTAGCAAATCTGCAATCACTTATGCAGATATGTGTAAAAATAGCCTTCCTATCAGTTTTCCCCTATCTTATCTTCGTGTATGCATCTTATACTTGATGACTTAAGCTACTGCTGTACTGTATTGCGTACAAGTTAAGGGCTTGCACAGTATGTTTCAAGTATGTTTACCAGTACTCTTACGCATATATTATCCGTCCCTCTATTAAGTACAAAGAATATTTGCAACTCATTCATTCATTACCTCTTAAAGGAGGAAATTCCAGAGTTTTTCAAAACTTCTGTTCATAATCGATAAGTTCAAAATAACGTACCAATTTCTTCACTTATCGCAATGTTGTTGAGAGAATCATAATATTTAATCATAACTTAATCTCTCATTTGCTTATTAAGATACACAACAGTGCATCATGTTAAAAAAGTATTACGACGATAATATATAGTTAAATTATTAAACTAATTATATTTCGTACAATATGAAATTGTATACTTTTCCGTGATTAGAAAATCTTATATATGTTTTTTAAATTTTTATTTGAATGCATTATGATGCAAAAATGCACTGTAGTAATTGATACAATATAACACGATGTTTGATACTATGTAATAAATTATTTTGTGAAATTTACATTTTTAAAATCGAACAAAAGATTAGTGACTGCCGGAACATTTCTGTGTTATCCCTCTATAGTCTTCTAGCTATGACGAAAGCTTTACCTTCTGTTGATAATATTGTAATATCTTCTATTGGCAACATTTATGCTTTATTATTTTCTGCATATATAGTTTAATTAATATAGAATATAAATATTAAAGATATAAATATGCTTGTTACATTTAATATATATAATAAACACAATCTTATAAATGAATACAATATTCTCTTATTAGTGGCTGATAGTAACGATACTCTTCGGTAATGTCCTTTAGAAGTTTTCCTTTGAAGAATATAGATGACATGAACAAAAATTTCTAAATTGTTCTATACGAAATAGTACGTTAAATATTTTTAAATATAATAAATAAAGTGTTTTTCTTCAAATGTAATCGTCACTAATTTCTTTATTCAGATTGAAGCAATATAAAAAAAGAATATGACAAAAAGTTTCTACACAATTTAGCGACTTGGATTATATAAATTTTTTTTTTTAATTTGGTTGTTTAATTATTCTACATTTATATATTTTTATCATTAAGATGATTATGTGCGGCTAACGTATACACTCGCATTTTGATTAATACAAAAGCAGTTAGAGAAGAGAGGGGAAAGAAATAACGAATTCCAGACACGGAAATCAATTTGTCTGGCTCAACTATGCGAAACGCAGTAATTGGATGAGCTGATTAGGAACGATCAGCAGTAAATTTCTGATACTAAGATAGGAGGTCAATTTCGTGACTCTCTTTTCAACTCGACTCGCAGTGCCAAGACAAAGTATGTACCGAGTCGGCTAATCCACATTTAAATAACTATATACGAAGAAGCCTTGTATCTATACTACCTAGAATATAATTATTCGCCATGGCTGTATACTTGTACTTACCGAAGACAGCTTTTGCTCAAGATATTTTTCGATATTATTATTGCTGTTATGTATAATGCATCTGTAATCTATTCCTTTAACTCACATCAGCATTTTCTTCGTAATACTAATATAGAAAGTATTATTAAAATATAACTCACACATTCTATGACAAAAAGAAATGATGAGAACATGCGTAAAAAATAAAATTATATTTACTATCTTGTAAATATTTTTTTAACTTCTCTATAATACATTCGTGTAGTTTGTTCAAAACATCTCCGTTTACCTGTGCAAAATTAAAATATTCAAGAAATTATTAATGTATGAAATAACATAAGTTATGAGACAATAGGTACATAGTTTGGTATTATTGACTGCTGTAAAAATATAATAAGGATAATCTTATTGTGCTTTCCGTTTTTATCTATTGTATATTTTGGCTTCACTTTATGATATTTTATTACAATTTCACAGGGCGCTTTGTTCATTAATTACAACCCTGCTCTCTAAGTCGACGCTAGGGGTTCTTGGTCTGCAGATGAGCATAAAGCGCAGTAGGTTACCGGCGCGAAGGGTTAACACCCAACATTGACCATACGTGTGTTCCTTTCTAAAAAAAATGTCGGCGGACATATATAAATTGGAGTCACAATGTGGGAAGAGTTTGCCAAATTTTTCTTCAAAGGTGCGTATCTTACTTTTGCCACTTATTTTTTGAATATTTCGTTAAAAAATAAAATTTCTTAAAGTTTTTCCGAATTGAGAATCTACATAGAAATTGTATAGACAAATACAGAATTTCGTGTCGTCGACCATCAAATTTGTTTTTATTAACAAATTGATATATCTTGTTCAATGTGGAATATGTTTTGCTTAATTCAAAATCAAATCTATTCCTTGTGGGCATTTTGGTAAAGTGCTGACCTCGACAATTAGCTAACAATTGGGCCAATGTTAGTAATCAACTGTCGTTTGATAAATTCAGCGGTATAGCGGAACTGGGCCGTCACAGAGTGCTGCTCTGGTAACGGAAATTGTTTAACATATCGTGGTTGAGGAGAGATAAGCTCTCTCCACAACCGGTAGATTTTAATATTTAAATGTATGTTACTGGGTCGCTAAGGAGCAAAATTAATATTACAGTCAAATGACGCTTAGAAATTATAATCCATTTAGTGAAAAGAGTTCAATTTATAAACATAATTATTTTTTCTATCACATATATAGTATCAACATGTATATTTGTAACTGATGATATATTTTTCTGCTTTATCACTTTATCACTGACATTCACCGACTACTGGATTCTCATTGGATTCAACGTTTGCTTGGTTTTGTTATTTCACTTAATGTGAATAATCGGCCTTTTTGGCTATTAAGGACTTGAGACTAGCGGATATCTATCACTACCTTGTCAACGATATTTCGGGTAAGTTAGATGAAGAAATGAAATAAATACGATTTATATACAGAAGATTTCTTCAAAATTCCAGAAAAATAAGATACAGTAATTAAATACTGAGACTGATCCAAATTGACAATGTGACGATATAATACGTTGAAGAAAGAAGTTGTATATTTTCTTGAGTTTATTGAAAGGCTCTATTGTTAAATAAGCAGTTTTAAAAATTTCGTCATTTAGCAACCGCGTGATTTTCTCATGTGCTACATTTAATAATTACAACATTTCTTCTAACAACATTTCTTCTAACATAAATATATCTTCTGAATATCTTGCTATTTCGATACTCAAAAATTTCTTTTTCGATTTATAGACCCTAGAGTTTCCAACTGGCCCTTGATGTCAAGTCCATTTGGTATAACACTAATTTCGCTCGCTTATTTGTCCTTCGTCCTTTGCTTCGGACCAATGTATATGAAAGATAAGAAACCTTACATGCTTACCAAAATTATGATTTGTTATAATATTTCCGTCGCAACTGCAAGTGCCGTTATATTCTATGGTGTTAGTATAATTAAGAAATTTAATATATATCCACTTTATCTTTTTCTGCATATATTTTTAGATCTAAGCTATTTAATATCATTTGTTTGTTAGATCCTTACGTCTGGTTATACAACACATCTTTCCGTGGGATGCGAGCCCTTCATCATTTCAGACGATCCCATGTCGATCAGCGTATGTAATTAAATTTTTTAATTAAGTATTATATATTAATGTTCCCTTCTTATTGAAGTCTAGATGTAAGAAAGTTTAAAATAGAGCTTTAATGAAATCAATATTTGTAGGGTCGAGAAAAAAAAATATTTGAGAAAAAATATGGTTTAATATAGTGATTTTAGTATATAGAAACTTTTATTGTGCTTTCAGATGGCTCGATGGGTGTGGTGGGTACTTATTTTAAAAATCACTGAGCTAGGAGATACCGTCATTTTCGTACTCCGAAAAAAATATAATCAAACGTCATTTCTTCACGTATATCATCATACAGCGACTCTCTTTCTGGCTTGGATCTCTTGCAAATATGCGCCAGGTATGTGTTAAGTGAAGGGTATAAATTATATTTTTTAATTAGCATTTTATAGATTCCGTAATTTTATCGAAAAAAAAGAAGTTATTTATTATAATCACAATTGAATAGAAAATGATTAGATGATGATGCACAGGTGGTATGTGGACCTTCATAATGTTACCCAATTGCGCGGTGCATGTAGTTATGTACATATACTACCTCTGTGCTTGTTTGGGGCCGAATGTGCAGAAGATGATCATCCCTTGGAAGAAATATATGACCAGTTTGCAACTGGTATGTAAACATTTTGAAAAATTTGTTTGTCGGTTTTAAAATGATTCAGGTTTCTACATTCGTTACGATCGGACTTAAGAAACTTAGCGCACTTAGCGCTGGATAGATTTACGTACAAAAAATAGCGTGTTTCGTGTGATACGTTCATATACATGGACTTCATTGTGGTTACAGCGCTTCTATAATTCGATAACTGGCTTTTCACGAGGGATTGAAAAGCTTCGTAAGCGCTGCTTGCAGAATCACACGTGTTCTCGTCGAATCCCAATTCGGTTTGCATTTGAGCGTGGCGGCAGGGGGTGGGGAGACGGGTGGACGAAGGCTCGCGGTACCGTTTTTAATTAAATAATCCGTTACCAGAGAATTTTTATTTCCGGCGATATCGACGGAACGATTTATCGGGTTACGTGGTTGTTTAATTTCGCGCGGAGCTTTTGCGCTCTAGAATCCCGGTCAGAGGTTGGATGAGGAAGGGCAAAATCGTGTGCGCTTTTTTGCATGCGGCGTATCGAGCCTGTCGAGTGTATACTATATGAATACTATCTATCCTTACTACTTTTTCTTGATTCGTCGCCAATATTCGTTTAAGCGCGTCCTTTCCGAATCGTAAATCCTAAAAATAAATATTTCACCGATGTAGTTTTAACCAAGCGTAAAATCACGTGACAAAAGTATTATTATATTTCATTGTATTGTAAATTTTTTTCGCATTTGCTGCACAGTAGAGTCGATATTATTCTTATTCTTTTATTCCAGATCCAATTCGCTATCATGGTGGCCCATACGTTTCAAGCGCTTCTACCAGCTTGCGAGCCAACGCGGAAACCATTAGCATACATTTACATGTCCCAAGTCGCCTTTATATTCTATATGTTCTTAGACTATTATAGAAAGTCGTATTTGAGGAAAAAGACAGAGTGAGCGAGCAATCCTTTACGATGACGCGATAGTTGTCCGAAAGAAGATGAACTTCGGGAAATCCGCGTGTTCGGAGGTTCCGCGTCGAAAGTTTAAATGAATATTATATCGAGTGAGCAAAGTTTCTCTCCTAAATAAGTTAATTTATAGTCAGTTTGATAAATAGGGACGCATGCAAATTCTCGATAACTTTTAATAATATCAGGAATGCACATATATTTCCCATAGGGATCGCATAATTTCGAAAGTTCGGTATTAAAATTATCAATTTGAGTTTATCGATGCGCCGTTTACCTTCGCGCCGTATAGTGTGCGCGAATAATTAACAAACGCTTTTGTATTTTTGTAGTAGAGAAAATATTCTTGCGAGGCTTGATTTCATTTTGCCGATATTACAAGGTTTCGAAACTCTACCGATAATTTGATTGCCTGGCGTCGTTGATACGTTCGTGGAATAAATAACAAATAAAAAAAGTAAAAATCGTAGTTCGAAAATTTTTGAAAATTCTTCCCGTATAATCACGGAAGAGACAAGACAAACGAAGAAAGTAGACTCCCCGACGTAAAATGAAACGTTCACATTGTTCGAGGCGAGGCAGCGAAAGAATAAGAAGAAAAAAGATATGCATGGAATGAGTCGCTACGAGATGGGATGTGTTAGGCCGCGCATGATCCTGCTGCGATACGTCAGCTCGGATTTTATTCGTTGATCCATCTGTCGTCGAATCCTTTTCTCCTTTCCGATTTGCCGCGCATTATACAATGTTTCGGATTACGTGGTGTCAGTGTTGCGGATCCGACATGCCGAATCTATATCACCGTCGCGGAATTCTCTCGTTCTTTTCTTTCCCGTCCTCGCCTACATTCTGACACATGAGTGTCCGTCCATTGGGCGTCAAAATAGAAGATATTTCAGGATGCTAGCCGTGAAATCGTAAAATATCATGAAATAATACTCGAGGAAAATCCTAATTTCTATCACGGTCTCGCTTGTTTGTTCACAAACTCATATGATCGCTCTCCGTGTCGTCGTCGACGTCGTCGTCTCGTAGTCGTCACGTCACGAACGTCGCAGCTCCGCTGTTCGAGCGTGTATAGCTTATTCCATGGCCGAAACCGTCGTAATGCAATCCCATTGTCCCCCATACGCATATATATATATATATATATATTATATATATATATATATATGTATATATGTATGTATATGTATATAGTCAAGTATATAAACGTCGTTCCATGTAGATACACAGGAGGGCCGCATTACCTTGCTCGACTGTTTTCCCGGCCGACTGATATTAGCATAGTGGATTAGTGCGTCCGTGGCTTTAAGTCGACACGCATGGCCTCACGCCGATAAGACTTTATTAACGCCGCCTGTATTTATCTCATGCTTCAAGCAGCGACCCCTTTCTGCATAGCACGTCCTTCCTTTTATAGATTGTCGTCGTGTATGCGATATGCTAATCGTTGTCGCTAAGGGCAATAGCTCCGTGTATGACACGTAATATATGTTATTATCATTATCGTTTACCACTTCTCGCTATCGCATTTAGTATAATTATTTTATAAGACACTGTCTATCTCCCTCCCTTCGGGTTAATTTGCTTCAGAGTCATTTATTTGCAATTACGATAAATTGCCGATTATTAGTTGCGAATGACGAGTAGTCGTCATTTTTGTACTGGGCGTTTAACTAACGCTATTCAACGCAATAATTGCCACGCTTATCCGCTATTTGTTTTGCGTGAGTAATCGTTGCTCGATGCTGAACATATTGAGGCTACACGTCGATTTATTTACTCCGGATAGTCGGGGTATAAGGGATCGAGGGCGCCGTACTAAAGGTGTACTTGGATTAGCATACGAAAGAAAGAGAGGGCTTGTTTCGAAAGTACGACGAAGAGTGGATTATCGAAGTTAAAGTTTCATCGCTACCTTGACGTTACTCTGCAACCCGCTTATTTATCCGGAGCTGCTCCGGATCGTTCAACTTACACGTTATGCGATATCGTCTTACCTGTTTTTAGCACATTATTTTAACTAACATGATAAAACAGAAAATAAAGACGCGAAGAAATACGAGACCAATAACTCGCATGTCTCAGAAAAATGATCTCGTCTATATATATGCGCTATACATTCTATCTTATTTACGTGAAAAGAAACGCGCGCTTTTCTGAACAGAAAATTGTAGTGTGCAACTTGTAAAACGACACATGTAATATTTAAGATAAATGAAATGTTCGTGTCAATCTTTGATCTCGATGTCGATGACACGTGAGGCGAGCATCAGCATCGGTGTGGACGTTTAGTTTATCGAATAAACTTAACATCCACACCGAAATTTGTGTCGAATGTCTACTTGTAATTCATCGTTGTGAAATATGGAACGGCGGCAGCTCTACGTGTCGGCGTGCAATAGTTCCGGCTAGCAGAAAAAAAGCCAAACTGAAGAAGACCCTTTCGTACGAAATGTATGACCGTCCCGGCACCTATCTCGCCTCACCGGAGAAGATTCATTTTTCAGCCTCCGCGGGACCGGCCTCCAGTCAGAAACGTGACCCCGACGCGCCGCGCAACCGCAACTCCTGGAGAATATTTTGCAAGTTTCAAGTTGCGACGTAGGTAGATACGTTCTATTAGTACGAAAGAAGAGCGTCGTTTGCGACTATTCCGAGAAGGAAAAACTCCGCGGGTTCTGTCGTGCTTGTTTTAAAGTAAAAGGAAACTTTCGACTATATTGCAAAGAGAAAGAGAGAGAACATATTTCGAAATAAAGAAATAACAATTTCCGCAAATGGAAAATCGCGCGTAAAAGAGAGTATACACAAAATGAAAATATTCTTTTCGCAGTTCAAGAATGACATTCCGTAGCTGATTTTTCTATATTGCAGATACGCTGTATTGTTCGAATTGAAATTTTGTTTTTACATTAACTCTGTTACTTTCATCGAAATTAAAAGGCCAATGGAAGATCTACAAGCTATTATCTTTCGATATTACGGTTACTTATTGCCGTTTTCTTCATGTTGAAATTTAGAGAAGAACTTGCTACACATAAAATTATGTTAATATAGTTTGCACTAAAATTTCCTTATTTTGTCTCTAGATTCGAATCTACTTGAACCCAATTAATTAGCGCCACTTTTGCATAAATTCATTACGAATTTTGTAATTAATATTTTAGTAATTAATAAAACTACATTGCACGAATATCCTCTATTTTGCTTATAGGCACCATGCTAATCTGCTTGTGAATCTTTTAGACACATTATATTTATGAAGCAATGGGCAATTTCATTGACATTTAGCGATATCAGAACGAAAGCTTTTTTAATGAAATATATTTAGGTCCTGGCTAAAAGAAGATTCGCACATTGAATAAATGTCTTTTCACGGTATTTTAGACCCGTTACGATGATTAGACCCGTTATTTTTATTAATTCTACAGTGGCCGCTAGGAGTCGTCATTATTATTGCCGCGAAGTGGCACGATCACGTGATGCATTCAAATAGTTCAACATGGCGATCGTCAGTTACGGAACGGCTTATGGCGTGTAGTGCGGGTGCGTTAGAGCTCTTCCGTATCTCACAATTTCGGCTCATCTGAAGATGAGTCTCGCGTAAATTATATCGGGAGTGCCGAAAGTAAGTTTCACGCGTTCATGTCATAGTAAAATTCTGCGAAATAATCGCAGAAAATGAATGTTTCGCTTAACGGACACGGTGATTCTACTCTACACTTGTTCACCTACGGCAATTCGCAGCTCGAAATGTTAACCTTTTTCCGACTTATGCAAGGAATCTCGTGTCGCCGGAGTGCCGAAAGTAAATATTGTGCGTGAGTTGTCGACAAATATCGTTCAATATGCTTCGCAAACAGATATCTCATGTAACGTATCGTCGGGAATACCGAATCAAGTTTGTGCGCGTCCATATTTGGAGAATCGCAATCGTCAAGATTCGTCATACGATGCTCAACAACGGAACGGATCGTGTCGGGCGGATTCGTGGAACCGTTCCGTGTATCTCGAAATCTCGACTCTCTGAGGATCAGTCTCGTGCTCCAACTATCGTCGGAAGTAAAGTAAGTTTCTCGTGTTCGTCACGGCAAAGTGTTGTTAAATAAGTGCCCAAAGTGGATTGAAGCGAAGTAAATTAAAGTGAGATATATCAGAGTAGAACAGATCTTGAAAAGTGTCAAGTTGAATATAAGATGGGATGAAATATTTGACGATTATAATGCAGTATTAATTGCACGAGCTATTATTATCCAGTCTTAGGAAATTGATACCACGTATTAAGATTAAATTAATAATTATAGGATAATCGATCAGATATTTTTAATGAGCAATTATATAATTAGTCGGAAATATCAATACTCTCTAATTATTCTCTGACCGCTCGTAGCCGAGATATTAATAACGAAAGTTTTAATATATCGATGAAAATGTAGCTGGATTCGTAAAATCGGCAATGTCAGTAATAAATTATAAAATTATAATATTATCTATATTTCCGGTTGCATCTAGATTTTTTCATTAGTGTTTGTCATCTACTTGGAATCCCCTTAAATTGCATTTCATATTTGTTAAACACAAATTTGACGCTTTGCATTGCAAGTCCAAATTAAGTTTTCCATTAATGTTTAACATAGACTAATTTCGCTTCAACGCAAACACAAAGTCAGTGCGTTTACATAGTTGTGTTAATTAATCCCGGCCTCACGGAAGAATGATTTTATATTTAGCAGAAGCACAATAATTTCTCCTTTATAATGATTTTTGTCTCAAATCGTTACGACATTTTAAAGCGTAAATATTAACATTTATATCGATACGTGTTCGAACAGCTATCGTTATGATGAAGGTCAGAATCTGTGCGATGGAGGCGGCACTTCTTTTTCGAAAATTCTAATACCGCTCCCGATATTATTATTGTCGGCTATATACATGTCTCATGACTCTTCGGCCAATTCCGTAAAATTTATAAGGTAGCACCGGCACACATTCGCTGTTCCCATATTACGATCTTCCGTTACGATCTCTCAGTATACGACGCAATTAGTTGCTTAAATACCAAAACACACATGTATATAAGTGTTGTTTGTGTATGTATGCGTGTATGTGTGTAACACTTACCGGGACGACTAGTGCAGGTAGTCTCGGCTGTTTGGCACAGTACCGACAACAGTTCGAAAGCTCACTCGAATTGTCTGTCGTTATCGTATATCTCTTTTCGTAGCGATGTCTTGCGACCTGCCACTTACAGCATCGGTTACGATCCGACGTGTGCGATCAACTTGTGACAGAGTGCAACTTCGGGAAAATAATGATCGAGCTGATGCGAGTTCTTCGCGTCGTATTAAGACGTGGAAGGAATATTCCAACTCGCTTTATTCGTTATCGGATCGAACAAGGTTCGCGAGGCGGATTATTAACTTTTTCTACGTTTAACCGAATTTAATTATACTTAGCGCGGGA